GCTCAGTGTTTCAGCAGCGGAAAGACCTCAATAAAACAGCATAGCTTGTCACTAGCATTATATTTACCTCAGCAGAAGTCATTCAGTGTCCACAACTGGTTGGTTCCTAGAGAAATGAACTCTTGCACTAAATAAATGCACTATATTAGCCTATTACATTTTACTTAAAGGGCACCTATTATGGCATTTAAAACGTTCCTAATATCGTTTTGGGAGTCCCCAACAACAGTTTTACATGCATGCAATGACAAAAAACACTTTTGTTGTCTTATAATATGCATTTATTTTTACCGGATTTGTAGCCTGGGAAATTCAGATTTGCTCTGCAAGTAGGTCTGGCAAAGAGCTCATTGAAGTCCATTTCCAATCCGCCGAAATCGCGGCACCAATCAGAAACGCTGGGGCGGGCTTTACTCGATGACGACAGCACAGCGACGGTGAAGCAGATTTTGTACATTTGCAAAGATGGATGCCGCCGTGGAACTATGTGTGACGGTTATAGTTGAACACCGTCATTAGAACTCGATAACCGCCAAAACCATGTTATTAAAATATTTTTTACAAACATTTTTTATCATAGAGAATGTTTATACTAATATCATCTTACGAGGGAAACGGAGGCGGAGTTAGTGGTGCTCCGGAGGCTGAGTGCTGGAGATGATTCGGGAGAGGTCTGTGCCCCTTTACCGATCGGAGCGCGCGCTGACACGGAGGAAAGCCTTGTTTATACTCGACGCGTCCGTGTGCACGGGTATTTTGTAACAGCGCGCGCGGCGCAGCATCCGAGGATGAACGACTTCAAGCCGAATCTGCCCGAGCCGTACGTCTCACGCACCGGCACCCAGTTTGCGCGTCTAAATTGCAAAGTTTTTCTTGTTAAGGTTTTGTTTACTGTGTGTGATTTATTTAATGGAAAGCACATTCACTTCCAGTTGTCTTGCTGTTAATTTTAAATAAACGTAGAGCCAGTAGATAATCAGTGTCAGCAAGTTGTTCTATAACAGACGAACGTCGCTCTGCATGCGTCATCTCCTTCATCGCTCTGATTGGTTTTAGGTCTATCCAATTGCGCCCAGAGGCATTTGAGCTATGTCCGTTGGTGACGCCCCTTTGGAAATGATTTGTCTATGAAGCTTTGCCAGACCATAACTCAAGTTACAACTGAGAATGGTCTGGTTTTAACCAGGCTACCGGATTTGCTCACCGACTCCCAAATGATTCGTTCAACGACTAATTTTTCCAAACCCCTCCTTTGCGTGACGCTAATCTGCGGTGATTGGTCAGATGACCCAGTCAGTTATTGTTTGCGTTAGCCCAACGCTTAAACATATTGATAAAGCACTGCAGTACTACAAGGTATTGCTCTATTCTTTATAACAACGACATTTCACATATAAAAAAAAAAAAAATTGACATTGGAGACCTAGAAGCTGAGCGTAACTTACACAACACACTAGGGATGCAACGGTACACGGTAAAATCCCGGACCGTTCGGTCAGCCCTGCACGGGACAATCTACCCTCGTGTCCCGCGGGACTTCAGTTTTCCATTGAGTTCGCGCTGATCCTTTTAGTTTTTGCTTTAAGCCTTGTTAATACTCGACGCGTCCGCACGAGCGCGAGTCTCCGCTGACTGCGCGCGCACCTCTTCAAACGGACGAGGCGTTACTGTCTATTGTTTATACTTGACGCGCTCGCCGTTGTGCTATTCTGTGAAACGACAGGGGGCGACTCCGAGTAATTCTCCTCTAAACCACCAGGAATCAGCAGTGAAGAAGTAGTTTGCTGTTTATTAGTAGTTTATTAATTGCTGATTCATAAAAGAGTAATAAATGCAGTAGGTTTATTGTAGCCTACTTTCACTGCATGTAAACTAGTTAAACAATTGAAGCCTGAGTGTTTAAACCTTAATTTCATCAGCAGGGCTTACTTCTGCTATTGTAGGCTTATTTTGTACATGTAACCAATTACTTTAGACAAGTGCAAACTGGGTGCTTAATGCAAATGTGTTCCTATTCACAAAATGAGAGGCTTTTATGGTCGCCCATCAATGCAAATGTCTCTGTGTATAGAAGGATCATAAACATGCTGGTACAGACGTACCAGTTCGGCCTGATTCGGCTCGAAGTCGTTCATCTTCACAGAAACACAGAAAGATAACCGGTGCATTGGGGTTCCATACACATTGATGTTCTTCCTACTGTGACATTCTGTTTATGCTCATAAGAAAAATAAAACATATTTTTGGGATGAAATAGCAGTCTCTTTCTGCACAAAACATGTACCGAAACCGAACCGAGACCGTGGCCCAAAAACCGAGGTACGGACCGTACCGTAGGCTATCTGTACCGTTGCACCCCTACAACACACACAAATACTTGAGCATGCTACAAAACACAAAAGCAACAATTATTAATAATACTTACAGGTTGTAATTCGGAGGAGGAAGCCGATCCAAATAAAACTGGTACTGAACCTTCCTTCAGCATCAACCGGCTCGCGAATCCACACTTGAAAGCATTTAATGACGCGAACACAGCACAAGGTTCGGCCTATACTTGTGTGGTATAGTTGTATGAACTGTAGCCACTTAGTCTTCAAATGCTCGTCCCTGGGCAGTGAAAAAAGTTCGCTTTTGATTCGCTCTTCAGAACACAGCGTCTCGTCGACATGATGTTTTGAAGTTTACCCTGGTGTCTGCGCGCGCAATGAGTGGGCGTATCTTATTCAAATAACTTGTCAAGTTGACGTCATCTAGATAGAGAAAAAGCATTGTTCGTCTATCGATTCAGATCAGCGACTCAGTCGACTCTTACTTTTGAGAGACCATAACTTTGTATACGGTGAACTTTCATATTTAAAACTTTGCAGGTTGTGTTCGTTCACTTAGATCTGTTACACACTACATGAAAGGTAACTTTCAAAATCCCATAATAGGTGCCCTTTAACCTGTTAAAGCTGCAGTAGGGAGTTTTGAGAAAACGTGGACTTAGCCTGAAAATTTGAACAAGCACAACTTCCAGGTCCCTGCACCCCCTTGCTCTCTGCTGCGCTACAGCCCTCCCTCCACAGCTCGTCCTCCACAGCGGAGCCCGTCGTGAACGCGCAGGCTAGTAAACAGGCCCACCGATGACAGCGGATAAAAAGTTATATGGCACATTCACTAATAGGGACTAAACGTCAATAATATGCTTTACATTGACTATGGCCTGCCCATACTTTGACTACAAACTTGGTCCTCAAATCATTATGTATTTTCCAATAGCCTAATGTAACTTTATAACGTTGCACTCTTTCTATAAGTTATAAATAGCTAGTAAGATAACGTTAATATAACGGTAACTAACGTTACAGCATGTAAGTAATTATTCTAGCGATATATAATGCTAGATGAGGTGTGCTAGTACATTATTTCAGCGACATGACAAGCCAGTGAATTAGCAGGTTTCAATTGTTGCTTAGCGGAGTGCGTGACATTTTATCTACATGTTATGCGGCTAGAGTTTTGACACCGAGTCAATGGGCTCTGTGTAATTCTTTCTTTTTCGCTTGTTTATCGTCATCAGTCTTTTTCCTTTTACCTCTTTGTTTTATGAGCAGGTGTCACTCGAGAATTGGCAGTTTAGGTTGTTTCTCCGTCATAAGCACAGCTGCAGCACGCCGGCAATCTTGAGTTTGAACGACGGCTCGCGCTGTGCAAGAGAGGGGTGTGATCAGCGCATACACGAGCGTGATTGACACTGCTAAGACACTCCTCCTGGCTCTGATTGGTTGTTTCTGACCGGGAGCGTGTATTTCTGCAAATGGCAATAGGACCACTAGGAGGAGCCAGAGGAGCTTGATTTTTCATATTCATATTCTACTGTCAGGACATAATGACAGTTTTTAGCAAATACATTTTTTCAAAAGTTACCTACAGCTGCTTTAATATTGATTTAATGTTTAACATATCTTTCATGAAAATGACAGCAACTGTGTCAATTATTATATTTCAATAACAAATTAGAGTAAAACCAAGTTAATGCAAAAACTGCCTTACGTTCAGTTTACATGTTTTCATACAATGTGTTGGGTGTTGATTATTATATCTAAAAAATAAATAGCATCTGAATTTAGGCTAAAAGTTTAGGCTCTGTTGTTAACCTTTAATGTTATAGTAATGTGCGGCTCCCTATATAGTTTACAGCATTAGCAGATTTTTTTTTAATCCTTGCAAAACGTTTAATTGTACTTTAATTCATTTAAAGACAGACGCTGCTTTTTTTTTTTTTTTTTTTTTTAAACAGCGGTTTGATGAAAAAAATAATTTTAGCTTTCTAAACCGAACCGAACCGAACCGAGACGTCAAAACCGTGGGAAAACCGTACCGTCAGTTTTGTGTATCGTTACACCCCTATTCAGCATATATTCTCTGGCTCTGTGGGCATTATTGTCCGACTCCGGGTCGAACTGAAGACTGTTGACCGTTTCAATGCGTGACATTGTCCTGTTTTGTTGCCACCGGAGCACAAGCTCTTGAAGCTCCGCCCTCTTCTACAAAGGGGGCGGGGAGCAAGAGCTCATTTGCATTTAAAGGGACGCACAAAAAAATGGCACATTTTTGCTCACCCCCAAAAAGTGGCGATTTTAACGTGTTGTAAAAAATAATCCATGGGGTATTTTGAGCTAAAACTTCACATACACACTCTGGGGACATTAGAGACTTATTTTACATCTATTAAAAATGGGCATAATAGGTGCTCTTTAAGCACATATAAACACCTGAACCAAAAGCGATGAGACTTGTTTTACAGAAATGGAAGTTTGTTGATCATAACCCCTGTTGGTTTATCTCAAGGGTATCAGATCGTCTCTCCTCACATTCAGTTATAACACAGTTAGTCCGTGTGAAGCACATCAGAATTATTCTGCCCTTGGTTTCCAAGGACATTGCATTGTTGAACTTCTAATGCACTTTTAAAGTTTAAGCATGTAATGCTGATGTTTGTTTCTGAACTCCAGCGTTCAGTGGATCTGAATCCGGCTCAGTCAGACCTGGTTCTGAAGCTGGCGGAGCTGCTGTGCGGGAAACCGGAGCCTGACAACCGGGCCGAGTACTGGGTGGAGAAAGCTGCCAAGCTGCTGCCGGGACATCCCAACGTCTTCAACCTGAGGGTCAGTGCGCACTTCCGATCCCATCCACATCCCATCCCATCTGTCCTCTGAGTTCACCCTCTCTCTCTCTGATGCAGGAGAAGCTTCTGAGCACACGAGGACAGAACGGCTCCATCCAGCTGTACGAGCTGCTTCAGTCTGAGCTCAAGCTGCGGCCCGATGACTCTTACATCAATGACCGGCTGGTGCGTCTGTACAGTGCAGACGGCCGGCACGACGAGGCGGTGAAGCACTGTCTGGAGGTGGAGAAGACCGGCCTTCTGAGGGACCGTCTGGAGTGGTACGAGCTTCTGGTCAGCACCCTTCAGGTCAGTGATCGTCTCATCTCCTCTTATGTTAGACAAGCTGACTCTTAACCTCAGGGTTCAGTGTTGGGTCCAATTTTATTTAACATTTACATGCTTCCACTTGGGCAGATCATCAGGAAATATGGTCTTGGGTATCACTGCTACCCGGATGATACGCAGATTTACATCACCACTCTTCTGTGTTTCAGGAGTATCTCTACCGGCCAAGCGTGGCATCGAACGAGCAGGCGTCGCGCAAGTTTCACAAGGAGCTGCTGCTGGCGCTCTGCAGCCGCGTCCGACTGACGCTGAAGGAGAAGAGCTGTGAGGAGAGTGCTGATGCTCTCTGGAGGTACGCCAACTCCAGCCTGTCGGGACACTACCACAACACTGCACACATGCTCCAAGATTTCACCAACTCAACGTATAATCTTATAATCCCTTTAATGTGTGCTGAAGGATCGCTGTTGAACCGATCATCTCTTCCTCTATACTACTAGTTACAGCAGCAAATAAACATGAAGGAACAACTTACTGAAATCAATCATGTCTCATGCAATCGCTCAATCAGTGTTTCAACCACGGAAAGACGTCAATAAAACAACTTGAGAACAATGTCACGTAACACCACATTTACCTAAGAAAAGCCATTCAGTGACCATAAACTCGATGGTCAGCTAGAATATACACTATATTGCCAAAAGTATTGGGACAACCCTTCAAATCATTAAACTCAGGTGTTCCAATCACTTCCATGACCACAGTTGTATAAATCAAACACTAGGCATGCAGACGCTTCTACAAACATTAGTGAAAGAATGGATCGCTCTCAGGAGCTCAGTGAACTCAAGCGTGGGGTAAGTGGGGCAAAGCGTGGGGTAAGGTGGTGTAGAGCGTAGGACGCAGTGGTGTAGAGCGTGGGATGCGGTGGAGTAAAACCTGGGGTGCAGTGGAGTAAAACCTGGGGTGGAGTAAAGCATAGGACCCAGTGGCGTAAAGCGTGTGGTGCGGTTGAGTAAAGCGTGGGGTGCGGTTGAGTAAAACCTGGGGTGCAGTGGAGTAAAGCGTGGGGTGCGGTGGAGTAAAACCTGGGGTGCGGTGGAGTAAAACCTGGGGTGCGGTGGAGTAAAACCTGGGGTGCGGTGGCGTAAAGCGTGGGGTGCGGTGGCGTAAAGCGTGGGGTGCAGTGGCGTAAAGCGTGGGATGCAGTGGCGTAAAGCGTGGGGTGCAGTGGCGTAAAGCGTGGGGTGCAGTGGCGGAAAGCGTGGGGTGCAGTGGCGTAAAGCGTGGGGTGCAGTGGCGTAAAGCGTGGGGTGCAGTGGCGTAAAGCGTGGGGTGCAGTGGCGTAAAGCGTGGGGTGCAGTGGCGTAAAGCGTGGGGTGCAGTGGCGTAAAGCGTGGGGTGCAGTGGCGTAAAGCGTGGGGTGCAGTGGCGTAAAGCGTGGGGTGCAGTGGCGTAAAGCGTGGGGTGCAGGGCGTAAAGCGTGGGGTGCAGTGGCGTAAAGCGTGGGGTGCAGTGGCGTAAAGCGTGGGGTGCAGTGGCGTAAAGCGTGGGGTGGGATGCAGTGGAGTAAAGCGTGGGGTGCAGTGGAGTAAAGCGTGGGGTGGGGTGCAGTGGCGTAAAGCGTGGGGTGCAGTGGCGTAAAGCGTGGGGTGCAGTGGCGTAAAGCGTGGGGTGCAGGGCGTAAAGCGTGGGGTGCAGTGGCGTAAAGCGTGGGGTGCAGTGGCGTAAAGCGTGGGGTGCAGTGGCGTAAAGCGTGGGGTGGGATGCAGTGGAGTAAAGCGTGGGGTGGGATGCAGTGGTGTAAAGCGTGGGGTGCAGTGGAGTAAAGCGTGGGGTGCAGTGGCGTAAAGCGTGGGGTGCAGTGGCGTAAAGCGTGGGGTGCAGTGGAGTAAAGCGTGCGGTGCAGTGGAGTAAAGCGTGCGGTGCAGTGGCGTAAAGCGTGGGGTGCAGTGGCGTAAAGCGTGGCGTGCAGTGGAGTAAAGCGTGGGATGCAGTGGCGTAAAGCGTCGGGTGCAGTGGCGTAAAGCGTGTGATGCAGTGGAGTAAAGCGTGGGATGCAGTGGAGTAAAGCGTGGGGTGCAGTGGCGTAAAGCGTGGGATGCAGTGGAGTAAAGCGTGGCATGCAGTGGAGTAAAGCGTGGGGTGCAGTGGCGTAAAGCGTGGGATGCAGTGGAGTAAAGCGTGGCATGCAGTGGAGTAAAGCGTGGGGTGCAGTGGCGTAAAGCGTGGGGTGCAGTGGCGTAAAGCGTGGGGTGCAGTGGCGTAAAGCGTGTGATGCAGTGGAGTAAAGCGTGGGATGCAGTGGAGTAAAGCGTGGGGTGCAGTGGCGTAAAGCGTGGGGTGCAGTGGCGTAAAGCGTGGCGTGCAGTGGCGTAAAGCGTGGCATGCAGTGGCGTAAAGCGTGTGATGCAGTGGAGTAAAGCGTGGGATGCAGTGGAGTAAAGCGTGGGGTGCAGTGACGTAAAGCGTGGGGTGCAGTGGCGTAAAGCGTGGGATGCAGTGGAGTAAAGCGTGGCATGCAGTGGCGTAAAGCGTGGGATGCAGTGGCGTAAAGCGTGGGGTGGGATGCAGTGGAGTAAAGCGTGGGGTGCAGTGGCGTAAAGCGTGGGATGCAGTGGAGTAAAGCGTGGCATGCAGTGGAGTAAAGCGTGGGATGCAGTGGCGTAAAGCGTGGGGTGGGATGCAGTGGAGTAAAGCGTGGGGTGCAGTGGCGTAAAGCGTGGGGTGCAGTGGAGTGAAGCGTGGGATGCAGTGGCGTAAAGCGTGGGGTGCAGTGGCGTAAAGCGTGGGATGCAGTGGAGTAAAGCGTGGGGTGCAGTGGCGTAAAGCGTGGGATGCAGTGGAGTAAAGCGTGGCATGCAGTGGAGTAAAGCGTGGGGTGGGATGCAGTGGAGTAAAGCGTGGGGTGCAGTGGAGTAAAGCGTGGGGTGCAGTGGAGTGAAGCGTGGGATGCAGTGGAGTAAAGCGTGGGGTGCAGTGGAGTAAAGCGTGGGGTGCAGTGGAGTGAAGCGTGGGGTGCAGTGGCGTAAAGCGTGGGGTGCAGTGGCGTAAAGCGTGGGATGCAGTGGAGTTAAGCGTGGGGTGCAGTGGAGTAAAGCGTGGGGTGCAGTGGAGTGAAGCGTGGGGTGCAGTGGCGTAAAGCGTGGGGTGCAGTGGCGTAAAGCGTGGGGTGCAGTGGCGTAAAGCGTGGGATGCAGTGGAGTTAAGCGTGGGGTGCAGTGGCGTAAAGCGTGGGATGCAGTGGAGTAAAGCGTGGCATGCAGTGGAGTAAAGCGTGGGGTGGGATGCAGTGGAGTAAAGCGTGGGGTGCAGTGGCGTAAAGCGTGGGGTGCAGTGGAGTGAAGCGTGGGGTGCAGTGGCGTAAAGCGTGGGATGCAGTGGAGTAAAGCGTGGGGTGCAGTGGCGTAAAGCGTGGGATGCAGTGGAGTAAAGCGTGGCATGCAGTGGAGTAAAGCGTGGGGTGCAGTGGAGTAAAGATTGGGATGCAGTGGAGTAAAGCGTGGGATGCAGTGTCGTAAAGCGTGGGGTGCAGTGGAGTAAAGCGTGGGATGCAGTGGAGTAAAGCGTGGCATGCAGTGGAGTAAAGCGTGTGATGCAGTGGAGTAAAGCGTGTGATGCAGTGGAGTAAAGCGTGGGATGCAGTGGAGTAAAGCGTGGCATGCAGTGGAGTAAAGCGTGGGATGCAGTGGCGTAAAGCGTGGGGTGCAGTGGAGTAAAGCGTGGGATGCAGTGGAGTAAAGCGTGGGATGCAGTGGCGTAAAGCGTGGGGTGGAGTAAAGCGTGGGATGCAGTGGTGTAAAGCGTGGGGTGCAGTGGTGTAAAGCGTGGGATGCAGTGGAGTAAAGCGTGGCATGCAGTGGAGTAAAGCGTGGGGTGCAGTGGAGTAAAGATTGGGATGCAGTGGAGTAAAGCGTGGGATGCAGTGTCGTAAAGCGTGGGGTGCAGTGGAGTAAAGCGTGGGATGCAGTGGAGTAAAGCGTGGCATGCAGTGGAGTAAAGCGTGTGATGCAGTGGAGTAAAGCGTGTGATGCAGTGGAGTAAAGCGTGGGATGCAGTGGAGTAAAGCGTGGCATGCAGTGGAGTAAAGCGTGGGATGCAGTGGCGTAAAGCGTGGGGTGCAGTGGAGTAAAGCGTGGGATGCAGTGGAGTAAAGCGTGGGATGCAGTGGAGTAAAGCGTGGGATGCAGTGGCGTAAAGCGTGGGGTGGAGTAAAGCGTGGGATGCAGTGGTGTAAAGCGTGGGATGCAGTGGAGTAAAGCGTGGGGTGCAGTGGCGTAAAGCGTGGGGTGCAGTGGCGTAAAGCGTGGGGTGCAGTGGCGTAAAGCGTGGCATGCAGTGGAGTAAAGCGTGGCATGCAGTGGAGTAAAGCGTGGGATGCAGTGGCGTAAAGCGTGGGGTGCTGTGGAGTAAAGCGTGGGATGCAGTGGTGTAAAGCGTGGGGTGCAGTGGCGTAAAGCGTGGCATGCAGTGGAGTAAAGCGTGGCATGCAGTGGAGTAAAGCTTGGGAAGCAGTGGCGTAAAGCGTGGGATGCAGTGGAGTAAAGCGTGGGGTGCAGTGGCGTAAAGCGTGGGATGCAGTGGCGTAAAGCGTGGGATGCAGTGGCGTAAAGCGTGGGATGCAGTGGAGTAAAGCGTGGCATGCAGTGGCGTAAAGCGTGGGATGCAGTGGCGTAAAGCGTGGGATGCAGTGGCGTAAAGCGTGGGATGCTGTGGCGTAAAGCGTGGGATGCAGTGGAGTAAAGCGTGGCATGCAGTGGAGTAAAGCGTGGCATGCAGTGGAGTAAAGCGTGGGATGCAGTGGCGTAAAACGTGGCATGCAGTGGAGTAAAGCGTGGCATGCAGTGGAGTAAAGCGTGGGATGCAGTGGAGTAAAGCGTGGGATGCAGTGGCGTAAAGCGTGGGATGCAGTGGAGTAAAGCTTGGGAAGCAGTGGAGTAAAGCGTGGGATGCAGTGGCGTAAAACGTGGCATGCAGTGGAGTAAAGCGTGGCATGCAGTGGAGTAAAGCGTGGGATGCAGTGGAGTAAAGCGTGGGGTGCAGTGGAGTGAAGCGTGGGATGCAGTGGAGTAAAGCTTGGGAAGCAGTGGCGTAAAGCGTGGGATGCAGTGGAGTAAAGCTTGGGAAGCAGTGGAGTAAAGCGTGGGATGCAGTGGAGTAAAGCTTGGGAAGCAGTGGCGTAAAGCGTGGGATGCAGTGGAGTAAAGCTTGGGAAGCAGTGGCGTAAAGCGTGGGATGCAGTGGCGTAAAGCGTGGGGTGCAGTGGCGTAAAGCGTGGGATGCAGTGGAGTAAAGCGTGGGGTGCAGTGGCGTAAAGCGTGGGATGCAGTGGAGTAAAGCGTGGGGTGCAGTGGCGTAAAGCGTGTGATGCAGTGGCGTAAAGCGTGGGATGCAGTGGAGTAAAGCGTGGGGTGCAGTGGCGTAAAGCGTGTGATGCAGTGGCGTAAAGCGTGGGGTGCAGTGGAGTAAAGCGTGGGGTGCAGTGGCGTAAAGCGTGTGATGCAGTGGCGTAAAGCGTGGGGTGCAGTGGCGTAAAGCGTGGGGTGCAGTGGAGTAAAGCGTGGGGTGCAGTGGAGTAAAGCGTGGGGTGCAGTGGAGTAAAGCGTGTGATGCAGTGGAGTAAAGCGTGGGGTGCAGTGGAGTAAAGCGTGTGATGCAGTGGAGTAAAGCGTGGCGTGCAGTGGAGTAAAGCGTGGGGTGCAGTGGCGTAAAGCGTGGGGTGCAGTGGAGTAAAGCGTGGGGTGCAGTGGAGTAAAGCGTGGGGTGCAGTGGAGTAAAGCGTGTGATGCAGTGGAGTAAAGCGTGGCGTGCAGTGGCGTAAAGCGTGGGATGCAGTGGAGTAAAGCGTGGGGTGCAGTGGAGTAAAGCGTGGGATGCAGTGGCGTAAAGCGTGTGATGCAGTGGAGTAAAGCGTGGGGTGCAGTGGCGTAAAGCGTGGCGTGCAGTGGAGTAAAGCGTGGCGTGCAGTGGAGTAAAGCGTGGGGTGCAGTGGAGTAAAGCGTGGCGTGCAGTGGCGTAAAGCGTGTGATGCAGTGGCGTAAAGCGTGGGGTGCAGTGGCGTAAAGCGTGGGATGCAGTGGCGTAAAGCGTGTGATGCAGTGGAGTAAAGCGTGGCGTGCAGTGGCGTAAAGCGTGGGATGCAGTGGAGTAAAGCGTGGGGTGCAGTGGAGTAAAGCGTGGGATGCAGTGGAGTAAAGCGTGGGGTGCAGTGGAGTAAAGCGTGTGATGCAGTGGCGTAAAGCGTGGGATGCAGTGGAGTAAAGCGTGGGGTGCAGTGGAGTAAAGCGTGTGATGCAGTGGCGTAAAGCGTGGGATGCAGTGGAGTAAAGCGTGGGGTGCAGTGGAGTAAAGCGTGGGGTGCAGTGGAGTAAAGCGTGTGATGCAGTGGCGTAAAGCGTGGGATGCAGTGGAGTAAAGCGTGGGATGCAGTGGAGTAAAGCGTGGGGTGCAGTGGAGTAAAGCGTGTGATGCAGTGGCGTAAAGCGTGTGATGCAGTGGCGTAAAGCGTGTGATGCAGTGGAGTAAAGCGTGTGATGCAGTGGCGTAAAGCGTGTGATGCAGTGGAGTAAAGCGTGTGATGCAGTGGCGTAAAGCGTGTGATGCAGTGGCGTAAAGCGTGTGATGCAGTGGCGTAAAGCGTGTGATGCAGTGGAGTAAAGCGTGGGATGCAGTGGAGTAAAGCGTGGGGTGCAGTGGCTTAAAGCGTGTGATGCAGTGGAGTAAAGCGTGGGATGCAGTGGAGTAAAGCGTGGGGTGCAGTGGCGTAAATCTGGACTCTAGAGCAGTGGAGTCGTGTTCTCTGGAGTGACCAATCACGCTTCTCTGTCTGGCAATCCGATGGACGAGTCTGGGTTTGGCGGTTGCCAGGAGAACGGTACTTGCCTGAATGCATTGTAAAGTTTGGTGGAGGGGGGATTATGGTGTGGGGTTGTTTTTCAGGGCTGGGCCTCTTAGTTCCAGTGAAAGGAACTCTTAATGCTTCAGCATACCAAGACATTTTAGCCAATTTCATGCTCTCAATATTCATTATAATTTACTTAATGTATGCTTGAATAAATCCATCATGAAAACAAGTTATGACAGCCCCGTTTAAATGTTTATATTTCGACATATCATTAAATCATAAAAACTGCCTCATGGGTAATTTAACTATCAACTTAATGTTTGTAGTGAACTTTGAGTGTGATTATTTAAAAAAGAAATTGATTAATTTATCATTTAAATAAACTTTCATTTTGGTTTCCTTAAATTAACTTTGGAGCACCACTAGTTTGTAGCAGTAACAGTATCACTACTAGTCTTTTTGTTTTTGCTCGACAGGTTCTATGTCAGAAAGAAATCTTTACAATAAATTAATCATATTTTTAATTGACTGTAATAAGTTCATAGAGCCACTTTGGCTGGTAAATGATGATGGCAGTTTTCACCCAGACTCATTGATGTCTTAGCCTGCTAGATAACGTCAGTGCTTCAGTCAGCAGACTCACGCGTTCATGCCATGTTTTTGCTGCAGCTTAGACCGTGCGATGCAGTCTCTGAAGAACAAGGCCACGAACACTCTGGATGAGCTGTCGGAGGTGTTCACGGAGACGAGAGCTCAGCTGTACCTGTACGCCGGGACGCTGCTGCTGAAGACGGCGCAGGACGGGGCGCAGCAGTGGAGGGCCGTGCGGGATTTAGCGGCTGTCTGTTACCTCGTGGCCTATCAGGTATGATGTACGCTTCATGCAGCTCGTGTGATCGGCCACTGTATAGTGTAATATCCATGATTTCCTCAGGCTCCGAGACCCAAAGTCAAGAGTTTGAAAGGTGAGCAGGCGTCCCATGAGCCTTTGGAGCTGCTGGCCTCGGACCGCCAGAGTCAGGCGGGTCACATGCTGTTGAATCTGAGCCGGGACGTGGAGCAGCTGCTGAAGGAGGTGGTGGAGGCGTTCGGGAACCGGAACGGGCCGAGTCTTCTGTTCGACATGCTTTTCGGCTCACAGGCGCACAACCAGCTCTCCTTCATCTGCAACGACGAGATGCACATGGTCAGCACACACGCGCCCAGCACCGACGATCTGGCCAAGTGGGACAGCGGTGAGTGTCACACACTCTAGATCCAGTCTGGTCTAGTGCCGCAACCGATCACATAACTCACAGTTCGCATTTTATGTTTTTTGAGTCACAGATCAGATAATTTTTCAGGTCAGCAAAAAAGGGTGGAGTTAGTACTGCTACCTAATGAAAATTGTAATTTACTCACCCTCATGTCGTTCCAAATCAGGTTCTTTTTCATGTTCGAGGCACGTTTGAGCTTCTCCAAGAACCAATGAGGTTCATTCTCGTGTTACGCAGCACGTTTGAGCTACAGCGAGAACCAATGAGGTTCATTCTCGTGTTACGCAGCACGTTTGAGCTTCAGCAAGAACCAATGAGGTTCATTCTCGTGTTACGCAGCACGTTTGAGCTTCAGCGAGAACCAATGAGGTTCATTCTCGTGTTACCCAGCACGTTTGAGCTTCAGCAAGAACCAATGAGGTTCATTCTCGTGTTACCCAGCACGTTTGAGCTTCAGCAAGAACCAATGAGGTTCAGTCTCGTGTTACGCAGCACGTTTGAGCTTCAGCGAGAACCAATGAGGTTCATTCTCGTGTTACCCAGCACGTTTGAGCTTCAGCAAGAACCAATGAGGTTCAGTCTCGTGTTACGCAGCACGTTTGAGCTTCAGCGAGAACCAATGAGGTTCATTCTCGTGTTACCCAGCACGTTTGAGCTTCAGCAAGAACCAATGAGGTTCAGTCTCGTGTTACGCAGCACGTTTGAGCTTCAGCGAGAACCAATGAGGTTCATTCTCGTGTTACCCAGCACGTTTGAGCTTCTCAAGAACCAATGAGGTTCATTCTCGTGTTACGCTGCACGTTTGAGCTTCTCAAGAACCAATGAGGTTCATTCTCGTGTTACGCAGCACGTTTGAGCTTCAGCAAGAACCAATGAGGTTCATTCTCGTGTTACGCTGCACGTTTGAGCTTCTCAAGAACCAATGAGGTTCATTCTCGTGTTACCCAGCACGTTTGAGCTTCTCAAGAACCAATGAGGTTCATTCTCGTGTTACGCTGCACGTTTGAGCTTCTCAAGAACCAATGAGGTTCATTCTCGTGTTACGCAGCACGTTTGAGCTTCAGCGAGAACCAATGAGGTTCATTCTCGTGTTACGCAGCACGTTTGAGCTTCAGCGAGAACCAATGAGGTTCATTCTCGTGTTACGCAGCACGTTTGAGCTTCAGCAAGAACCAATGAGGTTCATTCTCGTGTTACGCAGCACGTTTGAGCTTCAGCGAGAACCAATGAGGTTCATTCTCGTGTTACGCAGCACGTTTGAGCTTCAGCAAGAACCAATGAGGTTCATTCTCGTGTTACGCAGCACGTTTGAGCTTCAGCAAGAACCAATGAGGTTCATTCTCGTGTTACGCAGCACGTTTGAGCTTCAGCAAGAACCAATGAGGTTCTTTCTCGTGTTACGCAGCACGTTTGAGCTTCAGCGAGAACCAATGAGGTTCATTCTCGTGTTACGCTGCACGTTTGAGCTTCTGCAAGAACCAATGAGGTTCATTCTCGTGTTACGCTGCACGATTGAGCTTCAGCGAGAACCAATGAGGTTCATTCTCGTGTTACGCAGCACGTTTGAGCTTCTGCAAGAACCAATGAGGTTCATTCTCGTGTTACGCTGCACGTTTGAGCTTCAGCGAGAACCAATGAGGTTCATTCTCGTGTTACGCAGCACGTTTGAGCTTCAGCGAGAACCAATGAGGTTCTTTCTCGTGTTACGCAGCACGTTTGAGCTTCAGCGAGAACCAATGAGGTTCATTCTCGTGTTACGCTGCACGTTTGAGCTTCTGCAAGAACCAATGAGGTTCATTCTCGTGTTACGCTGCACGATTGAGCTTCAGCGAGAACCAATGAGGTTCATTCTCGTGTTACGCAGCACGTTTGAGCTTCTGCAAGAACCAATGAGGTTCATTCTCGTGTTACGCTGCACGTTTGAGCTTCAGCGAGAACCAATGAGGTTCATTCTCGTGTTACGCAGCACGTTTGAGCTTCTGCAAGAACCAATGAGGTTCATTCTCGTGTTACGCTGCACGTTTGAGCTTCAGCGAGAACCAATGAGGATCATTCTCGTGTTACGCAGCACGTTTGAGCTTCAGCAAGAACCAATGAGGATCATTCTCGTGTTACGCAGCACGTTTGAGCTTCTGCAAGAACCAATGAGGATCATTCTCGTGTTACGCAGCACGTTTGAGCTTCTGCAAGAACCAATGAGGTTCATTCTCGCGTTACGTTGCACGTTTGAGCTTCAGCAAGAACCAATGAGGATCATTCTCGTGTTACGCTGCACGTTTGAGCTTCTGCAAGAACCAATGAGGTTCATTCTCGCGTTACGTTGCACGTTTGAGCTTCTGCAAGAACCAATGAGGTTCATTCTCGTGTTACGCAGCACGTTTGAGCTTCTGCAAGAACCAATGAGGTTCATTCTCGTGTTACGCAGCACGTTTGAGCTTCTGCAAGAACCAATGAGGTTCATTCTCGTGTTACGCTGCACGTTTGAGCTTCAGCGAGAACCAATGAGGTTCATTCTCGTGTTACGCAGCACGTTTGAGCTTCAGCAAGAACCAATGAGGTTCATTCTCGTGTTACGCAGCACGTTTGAGCTTCAGCGAGAACCAATGAGGTTCATTCTCGTGTTACGCAGCACGTTTGAGCTTCAGCGAGAACCAATGAGGTTCATTCTCGTGTTACGCTGCACGTTTGAGCTTCAGCGAGAACCAATGAGGTTCATTCTCGTGTTACGCAGCACGTTTGAGCTTCAGCAAGAACCAATGAGGTTCATTCTCGTGTTACGCAGCACGTTTGAGCTTCAGCGAGAACCAATGAGGTTCATTCTCGTGTTACGCTGCACGTTTGAGCTTCAGCGAGAACCAATGAGGTTCATTCTCGTGTTACGCTGCACGTTTGAGCTTCAGCAAGAACCAATGAGGTTCATTCTCGTGTTACGCAGCACGTTTGAGCTTCAGCGAGAACCAATGAGGTTCATTCTCGTGTTACGCTGCACGTTTGAGCTTCAGCGAGAACCAATGAGGTTCATTCTCGTGTTACGCAGCACGTTTGAGCTTCAGCAAGAACCAATGAGGTTCATTCTCGTGTTACGCAGCACGTTTGAGCTTCAGCGAGAACCAATGAGGTTCATTCTCGTGTTACGCTGCACGTTTGAGCTTCAGCGAGAACCAATGAGGTTCATTCTCGTGTTACGCTGCACGTTTGAGCTTCAGCAAGAACCAATGAGGTTCATTCTCGTGTTACGCAGCACGTTTGAGCTTCAGCAAGAACCAATGAGGTTCATTCTCGTGTTACGCAGCACGTTTGAGCTTCAGCAAGAACCAATGAGGTTCATTCTCGTGTTACGCTGCACGTTTGAGCTTCAGCGAGAACCAATGAGGATCATTCTCGTGTTACGCAGCACGTTTGAGCTTCTGCAAGAACCAATGAGGATCATTCTCGTGTTACGCAGCACGTTTGAGCTTCAGCGAGAACCAATGAGGTTCATTCTCGTGTTACGCAGCACGTTTGAGCTTCAGCGAGAACCAATGAGGATCATTCTCGTGTTACGCTGCACGTTTGAGCTTCAGCGAGAACCAATGAGGATCATTCTCGTGTTACGCTGCACGTTTGAGCTTCTGCAAGAACCAATGAGGTTCATTCTCGTGTTACGCAGCACGTTTGAGCTTCAGCGAGAACCAATGAGGATCATTCTCGTGTTACGCTGCACGTTTGAGCTTCTGCAAGAACCAATGAGGTTCATTCTCGTGTTACGCAGCACGTTTGAGCTTCAGCGAGAACCAATGAGGATCATTCTCGTGTTACGCTGCACGTTTGAGCTTCAGCGAGAACCAATGAGGATCATTCTCGTGTTACGCTGCACGTTTGAGCTTCTGCAAGAACCAATGAGGTTCATTCTCGTGTTACGCAGCACGTTTGAGCTTCAGCGAGAACCAATGAGGATCATTCTCGTGTTACGCTGCACGTTTGAGCTTCTGCAAGAACCAATGAGGTTCATTCTCGTGTTACGCAGCACGTTTGAGCTTCTGCAAGAACCAATGAGGATCATTCTCGTGTTACGCTGCACGTTTGAGCTTCTGCAAGAACCAATGAGGTTCATTCTCGCGTTACGTTGCACGTTTGAGCTTCAGCAAGAACCAATGAGGTTCATTCTCGCGTTACGCTGCACGTTTGAGCTTCAGCAAGAACCAATGAGGTTCATTCTCGTGTTACGCAGCACGTTTGAGCTTCAGCGAGAACCAATGAGGATCATTCTCGTGTTACGCAGCACGTTTGAGCTTCTGCAAGAACCAATGAGGTTCATTCTCGCGTTACGTTGCACGTTTGAGCTTCAGCAAGAACCAATGAGGTTCATTCTCGCGTTACGCTGCACGTTTGAGCTTCAGCAAGAACCAATGAGGTTCATTCTCATGTTACGCAGCACGTTTGAGCTTCAGCGAGAACCAATGAGGATCATTCTCGTGTTACGCTGCACGTTTGAGCTTCTGCAAGAACCAATGAGGTTCATTCTCGTGTTACGCAGCACGTTTGAGCTTCAGCAAGAACCAATGAGGTTCATTCTCGTGTTACGCAGAACGTTTGAGCTTCAGCAAGAACCAATGAGGATCATTCTCGTGTTACGCTGCACGTTTGAGCTTCTGCAAGAACCAATGAGGTTCATTCTCGTGTTACGCTGCACGTTTGAGCTTCTGCAAGAACCAATGAGGTTCATTCTCGCGTTACGTTGCACGTTTGAGCTTCAGCAAGAACCAATGAGGTTCATTCTCGCGTTACGCTGCACGTTTGAGCTTCAGCAAGAACCAATGAGGTTCATTCTCGTGTTACGCAGCACGTTTGAGCTTCTGCAAGAACCAATGAGGTTCATTCTCGTGTTACGCAGCACGTTTGAGCTTCTGCAAGAACCAATGAGGTTCATTCTCGTGTTACGCAGCACGTTTGAGCTTCTGCAAGAACCAATGAGGTTCATTCTCGTGTTACGCAGCACGTTTGAGCTTCTGCAAGAACCAATGAGGTTCATTCTCGTGTTACGCAGCACGTTTGAGCTTCACCGAGAACCAATGAGGATGATTCTCGTGTTACGCAGCACGTTTGAGCTTCAGCGAGAACCAATGAGGATCATTCTCGTGTTACGCAGCACGTTTGAGCTTCAGCGAGAACCAATGAGGTTCATTCTCATGTTACGCAGCACGTTTGAGCTTCTGCAAGAACCAATGAGGTTCATTCTCGTGTTACGCTGCACGTTTGAGCTTCAGCGAGAACCAATGAGGTTCATTCTCGTGTTACGCAGCACGTTTGAGCTTCAGCAAGAACCAATGAGGTTCATTCTCGTGTTACGCAGCACGTTTGAGCTTCAGCGAGAACCAATGAGGATCATTCTCGTGTTACGCAGTACGTTTGAGCTTCTGCAAGAACCAATGAGGATCATTCTCGTGTTACGCAGCACGTTTGAGCTTCTGCAAGAACCAATGAGGTTCATTCTCGTGTTATGCAGCACGTTTGAGCTTCTGCAAGAACCAATGAGGTTCATTCTCGTGTTACGCTGCACGTTTGAGCTTCTGCAAGAACCAATGAGGTTCATTCTCGTGTTATGCAGCACGTTTGAGCTTCTGCAAGAACCAATGAGGTTCATTCTCGTGTTACGCAGCACGTTTGAGCTTCTGCAAGAACCAATGAGGTTCATTCTCGCGTTACGCAGCACGTTTGAGCTTCTGCAAGAACCAATGAGGTTCATTCTCGTGTTATGCAGCACGTTTGAGCTTCTGCAAGAACCAATGAGGTTCATTCTCGTGTTACGCTGCACGTTTGAGCTTCAGCAAGAACCAATGAGGTTCATTCTCGTGTTACACAGCACGTTTGAGCTTCTGCAAGAACCAATGAGGTTCATTCTCGTGTTACGCAGCACGTTTGAGCTTCTGCAAGAACCAATGAGGTTCATTCTCGCGTTACGCTGCACGTTTGAGCTTCAGCAAGAACCAATGAGGTTCATTCTCGCGTTACGCAGCACGTTTGAGCTTCTGCAAGAACCAATGAGGTTCATTCTCGCGTTACGCAGCACGTTTGAGCTTCTGCAAGAACCAATGAGGTTCATTCTCGTGTTACGCAGCACGTTTGAGCTTCTGCAAGAACCAATGAGGTTCATTCTCGTGTTACGCAGCACGTTTGAGTTTCAGCAAGAACCAATGAGGTTCATTCTCGTGTTACGCAGCACGTTTGAGTTTCAGCAAGAACCAATGAGGTTCATTCTCGCGTTACGCAGCACGTTTGAGCTTCTGCAAGAACCAATGAGGTTCATTCTCGCGTTACGCTGCACGTTTGAGCTTCAGCAAGAACCAATGAGGTTCATTCTCGTGTTACGCAGCACGTTTGAGCTTCAGCAAGAACCAATGAGGTTCATTCTCGTGTTATGCAGCACGTTTGAGCTTCAGCAAGAACCAATGAGGTTCATTCTCGTGTTACGCAGCACGTTTGAGCTTCAGCAAGAACCAATGAGGTTCATTCTCGTGTTATGCAGCACGTTTGAGCTTCAGCAAGAACCAATGAGGTTCATTCTCGTGTTACGCAGCACGTTTGAGCTTCAGCAAGAACCAATGAGGTTCATTCTCGTGTTACGCTGCACGTTTGAGCTTCAGCAAGAACCAATGAGGTTCATTCTCGTGTTACGCAGCACGTTTGAGTTTCAGCAAGAACCAATGAGGTTCATTCTCGTGTTACGCAGCACGTTTGAGTTTCAGCAAGAACCAATGAGGTTCATTCTCGTGTTACGCTGCACGTTTGAGCTTCAGCAAGAACCAATGAGGTTCATTCTCGTGTTACGCAGCACGTTTGAGTTTCAGCAAGAACCAATGAGGTTCATTCTCGTGTTACGCTGCACGTTTGAGCTTCAGCAAGAACCAATGAGGTTCATTCTCGTGTTACGCAGCACGTTTGAGTTTCAGCAAGAACCAATGAGGTTCATTCTCGTGTTACGCAGCACGTTTGAGCTTCAGCGAGAACCAATGAGGTTCATTCTCGTGTTACGCAGCACGTTTGAGTTTCAGCGAGAACCAATGAGGTTCATTCTCGTGTTACGCAGCACGTTTGAGTTTCAGCAAGAACCAATGAGGTTCATTCTCGTGTTACGCAGCACGTTTGAGCTTCAGCAAGAACCAATGAGGTTCATTCTCGTGTTACGCAGCACGTTTGAGCTTCAGCGAGAACCAATGAGGTTCATTCTCGTGTTACGCAGCACGTTTGAGCTTCAGCGAGAACCAATGAGGTTCATTCTCGTGTTACGCAGCACGTTTGAGCTTCTGCAAGAACCAATGAGGTTCATTCTCGCGTTACGCTGCACGTTTGAGCTTCAGCAAGAACCAATGAGGTTCATTCTCGTGTTACGCTGCACGTTTGAGCTTCAGCAAGAACCAATAAGGTTCATTCTCGTGTTACGCTGCACGTTTGAGCTTCTGCAAGAACCAATGAGGTTCATTCTCGTGTTACGCAGCACGTTTGAGCTTCTGCAAGAACCAATGAGGTTCATTCTCGCGTTACGCTGCACGTTTGAGCTTCAGCAAGAACCAATGAGGTTCATTCTCATGTTACGCAGCACGTTTGAGCTTCAGCAAGAACCATTGAGGTTCATTTCTTGTGCTTCAAACATGTTCTGTTGAGCTACTGTTTATTTTTGCTGATCAATGTTTATATGTGAATAAAAGCCTAAATTAAATCTTTAAATTTAGGCTTACAACATATAAAGGTATTGAGTCTCTTCAGGAAACTTTGGACTAAACTGCTTGAGGTTCATTCTCGTGTTACGCAGCACGTTTGAGCTTCTGCAAGAACCAATGAGGTTCATTCTCGTGTTACGCTGCACGTTTGAGCTTCAGCAAGAACCAATGAGGTTCATTCTCATGTTACGCAGCACGTTTGAGCTTCAGCAAGAACCATTGAGGTTCATTTCTTGTGCTTCAAACATGTTCTGTTGAGCTACTGTTTATTTTTGCTGATCAATGTTTATATGTGAATAAAAGCCTAAATTAAATCTTTAAATTTAGGCTTACAACATATAAAGGTATTGAGTCTCTTCAGGAAACTTTGGACTAAACTGCTTGATTCAAATGGATTTGTTTTACAATAACTTTATGGCAAAGACATAGTTGTCATAGTTGGTACAAAGTTGTTGCATGGACTGTCAGTGGAGGGACAGAAACTTCTCTGATTTCATTTAAAACATCTTAAGTTGTGTATCAAAAATAAAATATACAAAAATAAAGATTTATTGGTTTAGAACGACATGAGGGTTAGAAACTGATCACAGAATTTTTGGGTGAACTAAACCTTTAAGACCGAATGCACGGATCCAATATAATGATACACATCGAATTTCTTTCTCTAATGTTAACTTTCACTTAAGACAGAGTGTGTTTGAGGATATTCGCTGAGGCGGGTATTTTGAGAGAATGCAAGTCTGTTCTAGTGCAAGGAGATGTGAAAGAGAACTGAATTCTGTGTTAGCACCTCTCTCGGGTGGTTGCACAGATTACAGCGTGCGAGTGCGAAATTGAGTTCTTTCGTGTCTCCTTGCACATGAATGTTTAAATTGACAAGATTTACAACTTTTTTTTCTATGATGGTTAAGCTTTGCAATAATCCACGGGTCATATGAGTGTCGAACCGTGGGCCCTGGTCCGTACAGAACTGCAATCCGTTACTGCGCTAGTGTTGACAGCGGGGTGTGTGTGTGTTCACACAGGTGCGGTGCTGCTGCACGCGGGCGATCTTCAGCACCTGGCGTGGCTCGGCCTGCAGTGGGCGCTGATGGAGCAGAGTGTTAGCCTGCAGCGCTGGCTCAAGCAGCTCTTCCCTCGCCTCACGCTCGAGACCTCCAAACTAGACACCAACTCACCCGAGTCCATCTGCCTGCTCGACCTGGAGGTGCGTCCACCCCTCTTCTCATCCTCAATGAGGCACGGGGAAACATTCACCTACATTTGGCTTTTATGAAACATGCTGTCTTTTTTTGTTGTTGCATAATGTAGGTATTCATTTATATCTGATATAGCCTTTCAAAATGCTACTTTGGATAATGAAGTAATTTAATGCCTGTGATTTGTATAATGCTGTAAATATCTACCTAACATGCATGTTTGGACTGTGGAAGTGGGTCGATCTCAGAGTTACGGCTGAGGTGCTTTATCAGATCCGCTGTGTATATGTGATGTGTTGCAGGTATTCTTGTGTGGCGTTGTGTTCAGCAGTCAGACGCAGCTGCAGGAGACGGCACGGATGGCCTCGTGCTCCTCACCGCATCAGCCCCGGTGTTTGCCTCTGCACATCATCAGGCTCCTGTCCTCCGCCAAGCAGCGCGAGTGGTGGGACGCCGTCTACCGCCTGATCCACAAGAGAGCGCTGTGAGTGATCGCCCTGCTGTGAGTGTGAGCCTGACGCACGGCTCCGTGTCTGACTGCAGTGTTTTCTGGTGTGTGTGTGACAGGCTTGGGACGTCGGCTAAACTGCGGATGCTGGTTCAGCACGGTCTCGGCACGCTGCGCGCCGGAGAGAAACACGGCCTTCAGCCGGCGCTGCTCATCCACTGGGCTCAGCATCTCACTGATGTGGTACGTCTGCTCACAGCCGTCCTCGTGATGCTCGTTCTGAGCCAGGAATTATTGGCCACTCTGGTCTGATAAGTGTTTTAGGGGGATAACGGTTGTTTTCATTTAGGAAATAAAGAATTTAAAGGAATAGTTTACTTAAAAAATAAAAATTCTGTAATCATTTACTTGCCCTCAAGATATTTAAAACCTGAATTAATTTCTTTCTTCTGCTAAACACAAAAGAAGATTTTTTGAAGAGTGTCACTAATCAAACACAGAGCTCCAGACTTTCTGCCGGTGCGACCAAAGTTTGATATAGGTTGCGCTGGCGTGACCACAACGTTGCCCAGCGTCAAATGGCAAACAAAAGAAAGCGGAAGCCTTTCGAGCCTGTTCGGGGTTCAATCTGTGCGGACGAGAACCGAACTGAATTCTGTAACCATTTTCTATAGTGAGCAGAACCAAATGAGATATATTTGGATGTAGCTTCCACACTGCCAGAAAATCTACTAAGGGGACCATTCTCTCGAGACTTGCCTCTGGTATTAGTCGAACAGCCACTTCGGTGCCCTGAAACGGCAAACCGGCAGGCAACAACCGAACTGACTGTTCTACGACCCTCCTCGGAGGATCGTTGGGAAATGCAGACAGCTCGGCGCCCTGAAACGGTGAACTGGTAGCAGTGTGGCCCTCCTCGGATGGTCGCCCCCTAGAGGGCACTGAGGAGAAACAGGGACCGTATAATGAAGTGGAACCCCCTCAGAGGTCTGACGGCCTCTTCGTTAGGACTTCTTAGTCGAAGCCTTCTTAGACAAGATCTGAGGACTGTTATTATCTCTATCTTTAGATGGTTTCGACTGTGACCGCCGCCCAGACACCCCCTGAATGTGGAGGAGCCCGAATGGCGATGCTTTGTTTTTTGCTGCACTCTGTGCTGTAAGGAGGTCGTAGACGGCCTATACTGCTCCCGCCCAGCAGTCTTGGGGACCATAGATCAGTCTGCCGCTGCTTGTTTCTTCGCCACCTGAAACCTCTCGACGACCATATTGACTGAGTCGCCGAAGAGGCCAGAAGGCGAGAGCGGAGCGTCCATAAGGACAGGTCTATCTTGGTCTTTCATATCTGATAGAATTAACTACAGATGTCTCTCCGTGGCTGCCATAGATCGGCCTACTGATTTAGCCCGTCTCTTTGGTGGCGCAAAGACACATTTGTAGCGCAACGCAATTCTCTTATTGCGTCCACGCTTACTTCCTCACTTTCATCTAGGTCCCTTTGCAGGTCAGCCTAATATGCTTGCAAAATAGACGTTGTATGCAAGCATGCTGCAGCCTGACTTGCTGCTCAATACGCTTTACCCACCAGCGTCGATGTAGCTTTAAGAGGCTTGGTGAGTAATGTCGGGGACTTTAGTGACGACGCAGACTAGGAGAGAGATAGCTCGCAAGCGTCTCTTTAGCCCAAGGCATTGTCATTTAAAGGTGCCCTAGAATGTTTTTTTTATATTATTTTATAATGTTTCCTGGGTTGCCCTTATAATGTTAGTATGTTTTTTAGATCAAAAATAATCATAATTTAGATATAAAAGGCATTTTTCCTAGCCTGATTTTAGCCTCTGATTTGAACGCTCTGTTTGAAGGGGCGTGTCTGCTGTGTGTAACCGGCCTCTGCTGTGATTGGCTGACATGCTTGCATATGAAATAGCTATGTATTGCATGTGAAACTCTCTCGAATACTTTTACTACAGCTATTATACGTTTTTACTATTACAGCTATCGAGATTAACGAATCGTGAGATGTTTTTAAAGTATTTAGATCTATTCCCATCACATAGCCTACAATGTTGCCGTGATGACTGAGCATTGAGCAAGCAGATCACAGTGTGTTGATCGGGAGCATGAAGATCTTATCATTGCAATGCAGTTTCTGCACTCTAATGCTTTCACCAATGCAAACACGATCATGTAAATACAGTAAGAGCTTCGTTGTGCAGTGTAACGTGCGTCATTAAAGTCATAACGAGTTTGGCAAGTGTCCAGATAAACTCGCGCTGTGGAAAGATTGTTCTTTGATCGCTTTCTTTATATAATTTATTCACAATTTAAATAAGTTATTTTTTCATCCTACTAAAAGAAACGATGTGAAGTTGATATTTTAGTCACTGGCTTGACTTACTGATGCATAAACAGTATTGAACGATTTTGAGAGAAAGATTACCTGTCTGAACTTGAACAATTACACATCAGAAAGTGTTGCTTGGTAGCGCGATCCGAGGCCAGCTCTGTATTGGCCCAAGTTGAGGAAACAGTCGGTGAAATGTTTGGAAATTTCCAGAGAAAATAAAATTAACCCATTGTTTCTTCAGAGGCTCGGATGAAGGAAATAAAAAATAGTTTTGTGTTCATGTGTACATCCAAACACTGAGCAACTGCTATGCTTCGGCTGCGCAGTTCCGCCTGGCATTGAACATGGGCTGGCATATGCAAATTCTTGGAGTCGTACATATTAATGATCCCGACTGTTGCATCACAGTCGGTGTTATGTGGAGATTCGCCTATTTTTCAGGGGTGTTTTTCAAAAACGAGATTTAAGTAAGAAGGAGAAAACAATGGTGTTTGAGACTCACTGTATGTCATGTCCATGTACTGAACTCTTGTTATTTAACTATGCCAAGATAAATTCAATTTCAAATTCTAGGGCACCTTTAACCATGTTTCAACCCTGAGATGTTACTTTATTTATTTATTTATTTATTTAATATGGACATAACAATACCTTTTGGACGAACCAGATGCATTGTTTAAAGCAGTGGATGGCATCAAGTTTCCTTCAGTTGAATGAGTCGAAACATGAAGTGGTGATTTTTGGCCCACCGAAGCTAGCCAAACAGTTGTCCCCTGATTTGGGCCCTCTAGCCTGCAATATTAATACTCAGGTGAGAAACCTTGGTGTGATATTCGACTCTGAATTGAAATTTGATAAACAAATAAATGCGGTGGTAAAGGGCAGCTTTTTTCAGTTGAGGGGTATTTCCAAATTAAAAGGCATTTTGTCCTATAAAGAACTGTGATCCATGCATTTGTGTCATCCAGATTGGATTACTGCAATTCCTTATACTTGGGGCTGTCTAAGAAGTTGCTTTCACGTCTGCAGCTGGTGCAGAATGCAGCGGCCAGACTGCTGACCGGCACTAGGAAATGTTCCAGTATTACTCCTGTGCTGGCCTCTTTGCACTGGCTACCAGTAGAGTTTAGGGTGCAATATAAGGTCCTTTTAATAGTTTTTAAAGGCTTTCATGGGTTTGCCCCCGTGTACATTTCAGGTCTTTTACTGCAGCATTGTGTCGCTAGACCATTAAGGTCTACTCAAAGTTTGCTTTTGATGGTTCCAAAATCTCTGTTGAAAACCAAGGGAGATCGATCCTTTGCGGTGGCGGCACCGAAGCTGTGGAACAGTCTTCCTGTTTATATTAAATCCTGTGATTCCACTGAGTGTTTTAAATCTGTTGAAGACTTATCTATTCTCCACTGCTTTTAACTGTTCCTAGGCATTTGTGGTGTAGAGTGTTTTGTTGTGCTCTTTGATGTTTGTGTAAATTTGTGTTGAAATGTTGAGTTTGTAAAGCACTTTGGTCAACTCGTGTTGTTTTTAAATGCGCTTTAGAAGGAAATGATTGATTATTGATTGATTGTTATAGCACATGTGCTAATTTTCAACACCTGTCCATAGGGGCTTTTACAACAAATAAAAAACACCTTGTTAAACAAGACAAGGCACAATTAACACATGAGAACAACTTTGGCCCGATTTAAGCCACTGTTTGAGCTCTCTGGTAAAGATGTTAATATTGTTCTGCAATTTGAATCCAATTGGGAGAGAGTTCCATAGTGTAGCCCCTCTGAGTGAGAAGCTAGACTGTCCAAACGATTTTCTAAACTTTGGTAGCACACAATCCCCGCTAACTGAGGCTCTGGTGGAAGGTCTAAAAGTGCCCTGACACCTCTCCATGAGGCCAGAGAACAGTGGTGACACACAGTTGTTCAAACATTTAAAAGTCAATTTCAAAATACTAAAATTTACTACATTTTCAAAAGTAAAAAGCTTGCGCTTTTGTATGATATGACAATGATGCCATATCATAGGTTTCTTGTCAAATATCTTAATTGCCTGTTTACATAGAGAAGTGACTGGTTTCAGAGTGGACGCTGATGTTTGTGACCATGCTGTAATACAGTATGACAAATGTGAAAAAACCATTGCATGCATAAATAATAAAGCCGTGTGATGTGACAACTCTCCTCTAATAAAACGAAAACAGTTTAGATTTGATTTAACTTTCCTACAAACATGGTTTACTATAATTTGATGTTTGCACAATAATTTGATCGTGCTTCTACGATTTCAACACCTCGGTGTGGAGATTGGGAAAAAATGTCAGTCCCCGACGAGGAGGCTGTGATCTGGATGGTAAGAAGCATTCATCCAGTAGGCTTTTCTTTTAAACTTCCTTTTTCTCGGCTGGCCAATCGATGTCTAATTTAGCTACGGCATTTGTCACAACCTCCATTAGCTTCTAATAAGCAGGAGTATGAGGTGGTGAATCCTCAAAATCCCCTGCATCAATGCTTACAACATCCAGATCCTCAGAACTGGATAATTGTAACACTGGTGCCTCGCCCCGGGAAGAAGAAACCGCAGTGCATGCTTCTCCCTGAGACAAGTCACTGGATCTGGCAGGTGAAGGCAGAGATGGGGCTGGGCCCGTCACAAACCCCTTTGTCAGATCCATTTGCGAACCCTAAGATGTGCCTCGGCAGTAAGACACCCCCAACACCAGCATCAATAGCATCAACAGCTAGTTTAAAAGGCCTATCAAAATCAGGGGCAGCAAGAACAGGAGCACTTCCTAACAGTGCTTTCAAGTTCTCGAATGCAGAGTGAAACAAGCTGGACCAAACAAACTGGACCTTTGGGCTGAGAAGGTTAGGCAAGGGAGCAGCAACGTTCTTACAAAAGCTCCT